CTACCCTGGCGATCATCCGTTGAACGCCATGGCTGCCGTGTAGCCCCAATTTTTGGTGAATCCTCCTCTTCAGCTCATTGTACGTAATGCCCCGTTTGATTTTCAACATTTTCATTTTTCCTTCAAATTGAACACCGTTGGGGCCTTCATAATGCTTTCCATCATAGCAAATCATGGTAACATACATGTTTGGACTTGAGCTCATCTTTCACACGAATTTTGGGGGTCGAATCGGATTTTAGGGTTTTGGGTTCGGATTTGGGGGAAAAATTTGAGAAATAAAGGAAAATGACAATGATTTCACAATTACTATGCCTTAGAGGTGGTGTGATGAAATGGAAGGGTGATTGGAAGGTTCACAGCTGACAAATAAGAGAAAGAGACCAAGGGAGAAGTTTTACATTCGAATATAATGAAAATGAGACCAAGAGAGGTCTGGATATAGGGTTTTTCGCGATCTTTAGTCGACTAAATAATGTGCTTAGTCGACTAAAAGTGCAAACAATGTAGTCTATTAAGGTGAGTTTTTAGTCGACTAAAATTCACGTTTCATGATTTCTGAGTTTAGCCCATTTAGTCGATTAAAAGTGCAACTTAATCGACTAAATGGGGGCCGGATGATGGATAGTTCTGGGGAAGGAGCAAATTGGTTATTAATTATTTAATTAGGGACAAAAGGGTCAAAAAGCCTATATATATATATATATATATATATATATATATATATAGGAATAACATCTATCCTTTTAAAGAATATAAGTTTATATCCTTTTAGATTCTAACCGTTGATTTCCGTCCATCAACGGTTATAAATTATTGGATTAAAATTATTAATTAATTAATAATAAATTTGGCCTAATAAATTATAACCGTTGATGGATGGAAATCAACGGTTAGGATCTATAAACTTATATCCTTTAAAATGATAAATATTTTTTCATATATATATATATATTTTGTAGATTGTGTGGATATATATTTACTAGTTTTTTTTCCATATTCTTTCTCCTCCCGGAGAAAAGAGAGTAAAGAGAATTTTATGATTTAGTTAAAATATAAAAAATCAATAAATATACATCATGATTCTGTCACTTAAAATAATATAAAATTCGTAAATATTTTTTTCTTTGAAATATTATTTATTAAATTTATCTTTGATAATTCGGTTTATCATAATCATTAATGTTTAAGTTAATTAGCTTGTGGACAGGTCATCACATAAAACAATATCATCACAGACGTTACTGAATGACGCGTAAAGTATTTGGACACTGTCATGTTGATTCGTATATTTCTGTACCTTTTTATATAATTTGAGTTTAAACATATTAATTTTAATAATTTTTTAATTAACTTATATTAAATTTAAATAAATATTTATTAAAAATTTTAAAAATAAATATTAACTATAGTAGATAAAGTTTTATTTAAAAATAAAATAATAATAATTATAAAAAGCTTTGCCGATGTTTATCTCTTAATCGTAATTATAATAATTATTTTTATAGTAATAATTTTGAAGAAATTTACATTGTTTGTCTAGCTAGCACTATATCTCTCAATTAAAACATCACTATTCCATAATTTTTTTTTTCATTAATTTCTTAAAAATATTATTTAAACAAATTAAATGAAAATAAACTTTGAAATTGTGATAAAGTTGTTCCTTATAAATGGAACACTACGATTTCAAAATATGAAAAAAGGGATTTATCCTTTGCTCTCACATGAGATAACTTATCTCCTTTAACCGGAGAAATACTTTACCTGTTAAAATTACATACAAATATTGGTTCTTTTTAGTTGTATCTAAATATAATCGGTTTCATTTAGTTTCCTTACAAAAATTATGGATTTGATTTCTATGAAGTCCTATGTTCCCAATTTTTATTTTCCACGAACTGACAAGTGAACATGTTTACACATGAAAGGCTATATGGAATATACTGTATGATGATCACACACATTCATACATATTTGGATGATGTTGATCGTCCAATACTTGGTCCATACCTCATAACATAACAAGGTTCAACTTATGTTGGTCAAACACATGACACATTTTTATATTATTGTAATCAAAAGGAAATGAAAAACACCGGAGGGAGATACTCTTTTCACCGTCGTTTTCATTCAAATATGGTTATGTTATGGTACAATTAGGACACAGGCATAGCATGCAGAGCAGTATCATAGATCCGTCGAATAATGGAAGCATTGAATTTGGCTTTATTAGTGGACACACACATAATACACATACACATTCAGCTTCTTAACCATCCACCAACTCATATTTGAGTTTAAGGCATAAACATGGAGGAGTGACTCGAGTGAGGAAAAAAAGTACAAAGTTACAGGAAACAAATAACCAAACATATGACTTAAGAATATCAAATATTTGGATCTTCTATATTATTATTGTTATTTATTTATTTTTCATTGTATTTGGACCACCACTATGTAAAGAAGTAGAACACGACTTATTCTATTTTTTCTGATTAAACAAATGTGTAACCATTTTTGGCAAGAGGACAATAATTTGTGTTAGGATGATGTAGAGGTGTATTCTTCTCAAACTTTTTGTAACATGGGCTACTGTGCTCTCACTACTACTATTATTATTCTTTATGAAAATGTAGTCCTGCGTGCTACTGTCATGGGCAGCACCTAAGCCTGCACATGCCTCCACTTCCATCAACCTCTTCAGTTTTTTTTTTTTTTTTTTTTTTTTGTTATTTATTAGGTATTGCCATCATTTATAATTCAGTTACTTATCAAGTTATCATATGCATTAAAAAAACAAATTTCTTTTCAAGGGATTCTTTTATTAAAATCACTTTTACACACTTAGAAAAAAAATTTAAGGGAAAATTTTATCTCGAAATTCATTGTTAGAATATAGAATATTACATTAATATTAAATTATCCAATACTTTTTTTTTTTTTTTTTGGTGTGGTATTATCCAATACTTTATTAATGCACATTGAGATTTTTACAAAATTTACCATAAACATTTAATTCAATAATAGTTGAATCGATAAAAAATATTTTATATCAAATATCTTACTGCAACCGTTCACTTCTTTTTAGAGGAAAAGTTTGTATGCTAGAAACATGCTTTTATCATTAGGAATAGTACCAACATATCAATTATCAATGGGCAGATCAAACCATCTAATATCTATATTTTAAAAACTAACGAAATAGTATAATTTTAAAATATATTATGAAAATAATGCAATTAGTCTTGCATACTCGTATAGGAGACACTTGTTGGATTGAACCATGTGTTAAATGCTAGCAAGACTAAGCAAGTCTACTAGTCTAGGGATTATATTTTCAACAAATATTAACAACATTTAAACAATAACAAATAGTTGCAGTTAAATTGTTCAAAGCATAATGCTTAAACTTGTCGACATTTGACATATGATCCATCTAACAAATCGCGTACCCCTCCTCATGCAGGATTTACTGCATTATTTTGGTAATATGTTTCAAAACTCTATTTGTTCTAATATATTTATATCCTCTCATGTGGGTTTGGTCCGCACCCTCCCCATGCAGGATTTACTGTATTAATTTGGTAATATGTTTCAAAACTCTATTGTTCTAATATATATATATATATATATATATATATATATATATATATATATATATATATATATTAGTTTGATCTGTCATTATCAATGACTTAGTATTTTCTAATAATTTTTCCATGTAAACATTCATTTTACCTATGAGTATTGGGACTATAACAAATAGTATTGCTATGTAAACGTTAAATGTTGTGCCTTCGTAAAGACGTTGAATCACCTTCTCTCGACCACGAGCTTAGAAAATTAAGTGCATTTGCTTTGTTGTTTTTCCTCCCAAACACAAGTATATTAGCTTTTAAACCGAGGGTAAAAAATGATTTCTTTAGTATGAAAAGTTCTATATTGTGCATTTTAAAAATATATTTAGATAATATTTAAATAAAATAAAATAAAATAAAATGAATAATATATATATATATATATATATATATATATATATATATATATATGTACAACAGGAAAGTGACTTCCGCATAACATGCGAGAGTGGCGACACAGGTGGTGTCTGGTTTAACCAGTAAATGTTACAATTATTATAAGCAAAAATCAAATAAGTTATTTCTTGTTTTTTATTCAGTTATTTCTTTTATAATCACAGGTATAAAATGGCATTATAATACAATATAGCTTAGAGTTTAGCTTATTTTAAAGGAATTAAAATATAAAATTTTCTTTTAGTGTATTAAATTTTTTATTTTTATCTATTTAACTACTATAATGACTACTCAATACTAATAATCAAAACCCTAATATTTAATACAAACTAGTTATGGGACGAACATGTCTCGTTGTTCTGCGGGAAAGAGTCGGTGTGTCGGGGAACTCTCTTTTAGAAGGTTCTTGGAAAAGTGTGTTCCACTTCCACGACAGAATCTAATCACCGTTTTGAGCAACTCAATTCTTTCTTCTATCACACCATGCCTCCACCACCGTAATTCACAAAAAAATACACAGAAACGACAACAATTGTTTGGGAAAAACACAGCAATGACATAAAAACCAAGAATATAATTATTGAATATAAACCATGCTTGCTCATAAAATTAATTTTTAATCAAGTTTTTAAATGAGCATAGAGCTAGATCCAGATTTTAAGAAATAATAATATTAAAAGCTGTGCCATATTGTGTGAAAAGCCCCAAAACCAGGGTCGCATTCCACTTCTCTCTTGCATGTGGGAATGTTCACAAGTGTAAAATACAACACAATACATGCACTCTTGTATTTAGAGCCAACACGCTTCTTACAAAAATTAGGGTGCAACTATCACGGGCAAAATGAGAGAGGATGCATTTAATGTTAATGGTTCATCAAGCAGGTCATGAATGATTGCCAAGTTCACTGAATAAATGGTCACATCACATGCATTTATTGAATAGAGAATACCTGAAGCAATCTTGTCTTCTCTGTAAGGGGAATGATATATAACTATAATCACGCATACCTGCCTAGATAGTATTCATCTGTAGTCAGTGACCAAATTGAATTAGCTCAGAATTACAAGAAAATATGAGCTGAAAAATCTGCCGTCAGGAAGAAATGAATAACAATGATTAATGATGAACCACCATGTCACATGATAGGAGACTTAACAGAAGCAGAAAATAAATTACAAAATCGAAAACAAGATATGTAATCGAAATTTAAATAACTGCTTCAATTTTATATGCAATTGAGCTCCGAATCTTATTTACGATGATAACACTGTTGTCTGTCTCAAATCTTTCTGAGAAAGAATACATGGTTTACACAAGATTAGATTGAATTGATAGTTACTATACAGTTTTGAGTAATGAATCTACACAATGCATATAGCCTAGAAGAAACCATTTTAAGAGGTTTTTCCTGGGATATAAATACATAAACTATGTGTAGCAACTAAAATACACAATGAAAATGAAATATATGCAAAAAAAAATTATTATTTTTTCAAAAAAATGCAGCAACATAATTGTTAAATCATTGCAAAAGAGGGAAAGAGATTCAAGAGTCAGTATTGACATCGATGGAAAGTTGCAGCGAAGGTTGATGATGGTTCTTGCTCTTCTCCAAAGATATCTGCTTTGGCCAAGCGAGGAAAAAAAATCATTTCGCATAATAATATCAAGTTATCATCTAAGTAAGAAGTAGGAACATAGGATTACATTATGATACAAACAAACTATATCAATATATATGGAATAAACGATGGTGAATACTTCCATTCGAAGTCCTAAAAAGGGGGCAAGATATTCTTACACCGGTGTAAGAATTAGAAGTTTTACACTCAATCTTGATTATTGATCTACTTGTATCCAATGGCTCACATTACTAAAAAATTAAAGCCTTTAGATATAAGTGGGATCAATGGACAAGATTGAGAGTGTAACTTACACTGGTGTAAAATGATCCTGACCCCCTAAAAAGATGATGATACTTGCATTTTACTAACATCCCATCAACCGTCTTACCTAAAAACATATAACCACCTAAAGGAGTCTATTAAGCATTTTACAACAGAAAAGAAATCAGTTTAATTTGACAAATAACTTCCGCTTGGAGAAAACAAATCACACAACGACTTGAGTTACAGGGAAACATAGCTCAGTTGTTAATGCCAGCGACAAATAAACCATCTATGAAGGTACATACAGAATGAATATATGTTTATCAGCATCTATCCAATTGCTAATAGAAACCCAATATTATGTACATCGAAATTTTAAAAGTTAAAAGCTTTTCAACAATGACACAGGAATCTATAAATCTATCAAAAACCCTGAGTGCATCTATTCCCTGTACGCCTGTCCGTTGCTGAAGATTTGGACCACAAGAAAAAATTACCATACATCAACATCAACATCAACAACACCTTTATCCCAAATTAATTGGGGTCGGTGGTAGATGAACACACATGAAAGATGCAAAACGGTTGAAAAAAAAGTAAAAAATAAAAAATAAAAAATAAAAATAAAAATAAAAATAAAAAATAAATAAAAATAAAAATACACAGATAAAATAATAAAATAAAATAAAATAAAATAAAAATATATGTATATATAAATAAATAAAAGTAAAAAAGAAAGGGACAAGAAGAAGTGGGGGAAATGAAGGGGAAAAGGACTAAAAAGGGACCATCTGGAACATAGGAATAACAACGGGTCTAACCCTCCACCATACTTATAGCTTTTCTCCATTCCTTTCTAAGACATACTGTCCGCCAATCTATATCCCACTCCATTAAATCTTGTTTTACTACTTTCCCCCAAGTAAGCTTCGGCCTACCTCTGCCTCTTTTTGTGTTTAGCTTTTGGTAACAAACTTCTGTTCTTACAGGAGCATCCATGGGTCTTCTCATCACGTGCCCAAACCACCTCAATCTATGTTCTCTCATCTTCTCGGCTACCGGTACTACTCCGACCTTTCGTCGAATATCTTCATTTCTTATCTTATCCATCCTTGTGTAACCACACATCCACCTTAACATCCTCATCTCTGCTACTCCTATCTTATGCTCATGTTGCCTATGTGCTGGCCAGCATTCCGCTCCATATAGCATTGCCGGTCGTACTGCTGTTTTATAGAATTTTCCTTTTAACTTCAGGGGAATTTTGCGATCACACAAAAATGCAGATGCACTACGCCATTTCATCCACCCTGCTCTGATTCTGTGATTTACATCCTCATCAATCTCTCCACCGTTTTGTAAAATGGAGCCCAAGTATTTAAAAGCATTTTTTTTGGGTACCTCTTGACCATTTAGATGCACAGGTTCTTGGTCCTCATCTTGTACCAGAGAAAACTCACACTTCAGATACTCAGTCTTGCTTCGACTTAATGTGAATCCTCTGGATTCCAATGTGCTTCTCCACAATTCAAGTTTTCTATTAACACCCTCCTTGCTCTCATCAATAAGCACAATATCGTCTGCAAAAAGCATACACCATGGCACTTCCTCTTGAATATCTTTTGTTAGTTCATCCATAACTAAGGCAAAGAGGTAAGGACTTAGAGCCGACCCTTGGTGTACACCTACCGTGATAGGAAAATAACTTGATGATCCGTTACAAGCTTTTACACATGTAGTAGCCCCATCATACATATCCTTGATTGCCTTTACATACTTTAATGGAACCTTTTTCTTCTCCAGGACCCACCATAAAACTTTCCTTGGAACCCTATCGTATGCTTTCTCAAGGTCTATGAACACCATATGCAAGTCCTTCTTCTTTTCTCGGTATCTTTCCATTAGTTGTCGCATCAAGAAAATGGCTTCCATGGTACATCTTCCTGGCATAAATCCAAATTGATTTACAGAAACCTTGGTATCTCTCCTCAAGCGATGTTCAATAACCCTCTCCCACAACTTCATAGTATGACTCATTAGCTTAATGCCTCTATAGTTTGAACAATTCTGTATATCTCCCTTGTTTTTGTAGATAGGCACAATCATACTTTCCCTCCATACATCAGGCATCTTATTCGTCTAGAGAATCTTATTAAAAAGATTGGTCAACCATTTTATTGCCACATCCCCCAGGCCTCTCCACACTTCAATAGGGACACCATCAGGCCCCAAGGCTTTATTAGTCTTCATCCTCTTTAAAGCCTCCTTAACTTCATGTGTATTAATTCTGCGTACAAATCTTCTATTCATATCATCATACGCGTCCTCTAAGTCCACCTCGCTTGTATCTCCATCCCCATTAAACAGCTTGTTGAAGTATTTAAACCATCTTTCATTTACATCTTCATCTCTCACCAGAAGTTTTTGATTTTCATCCTTGATGCATCTAACTTGAGTGAGGTCTTTACTTTTCTTATCCCTTATCCTTACAAGTTTATAAATACCTCTTTCACCATCCTTGCTCCCAAGATTTTTATACAACTCGTCGAAAACCTTGCCTCTCGCTTCTCGCACTGCTTTCTTTGCATTTTTTCTCGCCAATCTAAACTTTTGCAGGTTCTCTTCACTGGGACTTTTATGCAAAGATCTAAAGCACTCCTTCTTATGTTTAATTGCCTCTTGCACCTCTCCATTCCACCACCATGTTTTCTTTGTATGAAATCCATTTCCTTTGCTTTCTCCCAACACCCTCCGTCCCATAGTTAATTAGAATTTTAAATGACACGTAACAACGCAGATTTAATTGAAAGTTAAAAGGCAAGGAACGCCCTCCATCTATAGGTCAGATTCAGAAAACCCACCGGCAGTACAAAATTCTACAACCTGACTCCTAAAACTTATCAAATCGTGCAGCGTAGTGTAAAACTACAAGCTTTTGCGCTAGTTGAAGGGGGTTTCTTGTATTTTAGCCTTAACTAATGTGGGCCTAGCACTTAGATTGATCCAAGGAAAACTACAAGCTTTTGCGCTAGTTGTCAGATCACTGATCTGGCAGGTGAACACATCTCAGGTTCCATATCCACCTAAGTCCATTTTGGCATTCCCCATTTCCTCATTAAGTTAACGAAAAGTAAATAAAAGATACAATTGAACTTATTTTAAATTATTGGTTAATTGAAAATAAAAATAAAAATTTAACAGTATCCTGGGCTAAAACTTTATTTTGGGGCTAAGTTTAGCAGCAAATACTAGATAAGTTGTGGTCAGAATACAAGGAACAATAGCTTGGTTAAAGATGACTTAAGTAAGATGCATTAACTCACCAAGAGAAGATCCTCATCAGTACCAAAGGCTTTACGAGCTTCTTCTAAGGATTTCGAAGAGATCCTCTTATGTTTCCTGCATAAGATTCACGGAGTTTTGAATTTGTTAATTAATAAAGATGATCAATCAACTCTTATTTTAGGATTAAAATCACAAAAAGAATTAGGCAGTAGTTCATCCACTCAAATAATATGCAGATGTTTGTCATATTCATTATTCAACCAAATTGTTTATGGAAATTAAAAAATAAAATAAAATTGACCAATGTCATTTGTTTTGTTGTCTCGCTATGTCAGCAAATTCTGCCACGGTTGCAAGGAAATCAAGATATTATCAACGTATCCAGTAAGATAGTAGTAGTTAGAACCACGAGGCAAGAACACACAAAATCTTAAGAATACATGGATGGTTTTTGTCATCCAAGGCATGTATACATCTAAATTTATGCAATGGAAGGACAGTGTGTATGCCTATGCTACTAGACTGATCTGGCAGGTTATTTCATCAAATATCTGGTTAAAGAAGCAACATATGTTAAATTTATAATTTAAACTTCATAAGCTAAAATTTCAATCATAACCGACAGCAGGACTCTGACCCTTCTGAAAAGTTAGCATGCTAAAACTACAAAGCAAATGATTTATCATTTATCCAGTAAAACCAAAGGCATAACAAACAATACCAATAATATAACAAGCATGGAACCATTATCAGTATCATTAAACATCCACTGCCTGGAGCAATTTCATAAAAAATGGAACTGGAAAGAACTTTCTTTCAGAAAGACAGAAACCACATAAATATGAATTCTCAACAGAGCAGATGCAGCCTATATGAGAAACAATGAATAAGTGATCATGCAGAAAATAAAATGTATTCAAAGTCTCAGGCAGTTTAACATGACATCTAAAATTTCTAGATTGCCATGAAAAATAAGTTATTGAGTAGCAACAGCTCCACTTAAACATATGTATTGTTGTCGATTTCATTGGAAGATTCTACTATGGAAAGTTTTTCCAATCCCAGAGGTTCTCTAAAGTTTTAGATTTCATATTATGAATTCTTGTTAGATTCATAATATACCTAAAAGACTGCAACCCTTATGTACAGCATTGTCATAAAAGTAAAGTATATGATATCTCTGTTATTAGGAAGATCCTAAGGAGACACATACCTGACTATATACATGTGCAGTAGAATATGCCATGTGATTTTACTTAAAGATAAAATGAGATTCTTTCCTTTTTTTTCGAAAGACAAAAAACTAGAAGCAAATATGTTCAATGACACTTTGAACATGTATTACATTAATCCCCAAATGCCAACATGGAATTCTCAGTGGATTGGTTACAATTAACATATATTGCTTTTACAGTTTTACCTAATTTTATATAAGCATTATATGCTCTAAGAATATTTTTTTTCTTAAAAAAAAAAAGATGACTTATTTAATGATTAAAGGAGTTGGGGATCCAAGTGTTAATATTTATGATCCAAACACAATGGTAAAAGATTTTAAGAAGGATAAAATAATACCATGCAGAAAATTTTAAGATAATACAAGTTATTATCCAGCTAGTAGAAAGAGGGAAAAGAGGATACTTAGAGCTAGCAGGATCCCTTATCTCAAACATATCTGCTCCAGCATCATAACCACATATCAACACATAGTGACCTGTCAATAGAATTTTTCTACTTAGTTGACATAATAAATCCATTAATTTCAGAATGTTAGAATGAATACTAATAGAATACGAATCCATCATGAGGATACTGACTAGTTTCTCACATCATAGAAAAATATCAGCTCTTATTCATGATTGTAAGCAAGCACAATCTTGGAGTTTAGGAATTAGAATTTAAGGAGATCAACATCTATTAGTCCTTTGTCCTTTTTTAGCAGAAGCACTAAACATAGCTACACTAAATGTTGTATAAAAAATATACATTAGCTGTCCAGTCCTGCTTAAAAGCACACTTCATTTATTTACAAGCAACACGTCATATATGAATAATATATTATATAGATTATTATTGAACTAAGGGGGCATTTGATACGTGGGTAAATTTTGGATTCCCGGGAAATGGATATTGAAAATCTTATTTACCCACGTTTGGTACAAGGAAGAGTGAAAATTTTCCTGAGAAAATTACATTCCCAGGATTTTAAAATGTTCAACAAAATCCCAATCAATAATACCACCCCATAGGTGGTATTCTGAAAATCCCACACGGTGGGAAAATATTCTCAATTTTTTCAGACAAAAATACCCTCACGTCATCGTCAACTCATGTCGTCCTCGACTATTTTGATGAGAAGAAGCTGATGGAAGCTCAGGGTAGCAACCAACCCTTGACCACCCTTTACCAAGCTCGCCACCAACCAGCAAGGCTTCATTAAGGTTGCACAAGTCGGCGATGGCAATATCGCCTTCGGCTCCGCCGTAAGTAGTGCCCCTACTGACGTCGAGCTCGTGAAAACCGTCACCACTGAACCCTACAACATTTCCATTCTCATCTTTTCCCTGGCGTTGATAGCTCACAGTCTCCATTAGCACCATTTGGTTCACAATCCCCACAAGGAGCAAAGGCCCCATCCCCTTCAACAACTACATCTGCAATTTTAATTTTAAATTCGATAAGTTTTGAATGAAATGATGGGTAAGGTTACTTTTGTAAAATTATCTCACATTCCCAGCAATATTTGATAATTAACCAAACATAGAATCAGAAAACTTGAGCCAACATTCTTGGTAATATTTTGGCCTACCAAACAGCTTTATGGTAACATCCTGGGAAATTCACTTTTCCACCATATTCCTGGGAATCAACATCAACATGAAAAATACCTTAATCCCAAACTAATTGGGGTCGATGGTAGATGAACCATATTCCTAGGAATCAACAACAAAATTTCTCCTCTGCCAAACGTTCCCTAATGAGATGTGTATGAAAATAATAACAGCAAAGCAACTTAGATACATCTTTTCCTGCTCAAGTTATAAAAGCTTAAGTTTTTCAAATATATATTTCCTAACTTTGGTTCCAAATGTTGCCAAATTTTAGGCAATTAAAGCTATGTCGTTTGAACACAAGCCCTACATCTCATTACTTCTTGAAAGAAGTTATTTTCTCCCAATATATAGCCAATGTTTCCATCATACTCCATGGTAGACGTGGATGATGGATCTTAACGTTACATGCTACGGTCACACAAAGTAAAAGCACAAGACAATTTATTTAAGATGTTGATATTGAACGGGGCAGACAAGCGTATGTTGAACGTTCAGCCGGTACATTGGCCCCACATAACAAAAAGTTAAAAAAACTTGTAATGAAGCAAAAAGCCAGGTTGCATCAGCCCTTTAAGTCAAGCGCATTTCACATAAACCAACAAGTTTACCGGTTTAAAGGGTTCAAGTGCACATCTGATCCAATAGGGGAGTCCAGTATTTGTTTAATAACTGTAAAGAACCTTGAGGTCACCACCCCAAAAGCTAGCTCAAAGGGTGGGAGTGCCCAAGACCTTATAAACTTCACATTAGTTGCACATACAACCAATGTGGGACTTACATATCTGAACACGCTCCCTCACACGAGAGCCCATTGGGCTTGAAGAGTGGACAATGCAACAGGCCCAGCCTACCTGTGCTAAGAAACGCCACAAGAGAAAGTGGGGGATGGCGAGGCTTTGATACCATGTAAAGAACCTTGAGGTCACCACCCCAAAAGCTAGCTCAAAGGGTGGGAGTGCCCAAGACCTTATAAACTCCACATTAGTTGCACATACAACCAATGTGGGACTTACATATCTCAACAATAACTATGATTTAAACTAAAGTAGATAAGCCTCTATATTTCAGATTATTAGGATATGAACTACTACAGCTGTAACTTATAATTACAAAAAGCCTTGCAGATTGCTGCAAATCTCCAACCTATAAAACTAGACAGTGTTGATGCAATTTCTGTATTTTACTCATCCACAAAACAGAAAGGTTTTTTTCCCAGACAAAATAACTGTTGTAAATATTATAGTATAGAGTAGTTTAGTGTGAGGAATGAAGTCCCATGTCATGCATATCTCTTTGTAATTCTTTTTTATTTAGTTATATAATAGAGCCTCTGCTGCGTAGTTGAAACACACAGATTTCAGTATATGTCGTTGTTTGGCCTAGATTATGGAGACACATTCTTCCTAGTGGCAAAAATGGCCTTTATTTGCTTCTTTCTAATTATGGCTGCTATTCGTCACTGGGTTCTTTATCCATTGTATGTTAAGAATGTTTTCCTCTATGGTGATCTTGCGGAAGAAGTTTATATGGAGCAACCTCCAAGGTTTGTTGCTCGGGGGATCTAGCTTAGTTTGCCATCTCCACAAGCCCCTATATGGTCTCAAGCAATCTCCATGGGCTTGGTTTTGAAGATTTAGCATTGTTGTACAACAGTTTGGCATGACTCGAAGTGAGGCTGATCACTCAGTATTTTATCATCACTCTATTTCAGGATCCATTTATTTGGTGGTATATTTTGATGACATTGTCATTACAGGTGATGATCATCATGGCATTATTAAGATAAAACAACATCTATGCTATCATTCTTAGACAAAAGACCTTGTAAGACTCTGGCATTTCTTACGGATAGAGGTGGCCTAGTCCAAAGATAATATAATGATATCCAAAAGGAAATATGCTATGCACATTCTTGAGGAGATAACTTTGTTTAAATGCTAAGCTAGTCGACACTCCAATGGATCCAAATGTCAAGCTTCTACCAAACCAAGGGGAGCCATGCTCAGATCCAAAAAAGTATAGAAGATTAGTTGGGAAGCTAAACTACCTCACAGTCACTTGACCAGGCATCTCATTTGTTGTCAGTGTGGTAAGTCAGTTCCTGAATTCTCCTTATGAAGATCACTGGAGCAGTGATTTGTATTCTTAAGTATATTAAGACAGCTCCAGGACAAGGTCTTTTTTATAGAGACAATGGTCATACTCGGGTTATGGGATACTTAAATGCTAATTGGGTAGGTTGCCGCACTGCTGGGAGATCCATCTCTGGGTATTATATATTTGTTGGAGATAATTTACTATCCTGGAATAGTAAGAAACAAAGTGTAATTGCTAGATCAAGTACTGAAGCAAAGTGTCGTTCTTTGACCACAACCACTTGTGAACTCATCTGGCTAAAACAACTGCTTAAGGGGCACAAGTTTAGATTTAGAGACATTGAACCAGCAACTCTCATATGCGATAATCAAGTTGTTTTGCATATTTCTTTTAATCCAGTATTTCATGAAAGAATTAAGCATATTGCGATAGATCGTCATTTTGTCAGAGAAAAGGTCCTCTCGAGAGATATTGTCACCAATTTTGTTAACTCAAATGATCAACTGGCTGATTTGTTCAGTAAGCCTTTGAGAGGTCCTCAAATAGATTACATATGTAACAAGCTTAGTGCATATGATCTATATTCTCCAACTTGAGGAGAGTGTTGTAAATATAGTAATATTAAGTAGCTTAGTATGAGGGATGAAGCCCCACATCATGTATATCTTTTTGTAATTCCTTTTCATTCAATTATATAATAGAGCCTCTGCTGTGTAGTTAAAACACACGGATTTCAGTATGTACCTCTCGAGTCCTGATATTTAAAAATAGCTTATTGTGTTTATAAACTAAAGCTACTTCCAACGATATTAAATTTTTAAAGTTAAATTAAAATATAGAATCTTCAACAAGAATTCAATGTACTAGAGTGGAGAATTGTCTATAAGTGCTTGCCCATCCCAGTCAGATAAGACTAACTTTATAAATATAAAATTTTAAAATCAGATTTAACAAGTCTTCTTGTAGGAAAGTCAATGAAAAGTCACGGAGATGTTAGCTGTCAATTACCCTAATCGGAAATTGAAATACAATAATTTACTGGTGCATTTGTCTAAACTCAGCATATATAAAGAAGTCATTTAGAACATGCATATCACAGGCGTTAACTAAACAAATCAACCACTTACATGTATAGAACAGTTGTACGATAGCAACTTCAATTTAGAAATAATACATACAAAACACATACAAATAAGTCTAGGCTAAAATATCAATGCTCACCCGTGTAGCCAGGGTTGTTGCAGAAGATGTCAGGGACACAAACATCTTCTTGCGATACATGACTGCAACATAACCTTTTCAGAAGCAGATAGAAATGCCCATCACCAAAGAAAATGACATTATTGTGGAAGTAAAAAACAAAATAACAGAGAATTTATATTGCACCAGGGGTAGCAAATTTTCTAAAAAAAGAGTTTGTCAATGAATGAACTTGGTTTACCTCAGGTACTATGTAAAATTGATAATAGTATTTGAGTATGTAAGTGTGGTACAGTTATTGAAAAGGGATTAGAAGAAACCTGTACCTCAATTTATTGTGGTCAACTAATGCAATAGCAATATATTTCCCAGACAATATGAGAATAGAAATCTGTTCTCCACTAATTGACGTACACTGTAAAAAGATGGAAAGGTTTGTTGACTACTTATAAAGAAACAACAAAGTCGTAATCAGATATAATGTCTCCATACGGAAGAAAAGACAAATAAGCACAAAGTTCTACTTGTCAGTTTCTTCCAATTCCAACAAATCTGCCAGAGAGCATCATTCTAGCAAGCTCTATAAAAAAACTATTTCCTAATCCATTAATATGTATTCAGTAAAAGTGCAACTGATTTTACACCCTTTAATTATTTCCTACCAAGAGAAACGTAACAACAAAACATTAATTGAAAGAAATGACATTGTAACATTTTCCTTTTCTTTTCCAATAGTTGACAATCTCAGAACTTCCTTCAGATTGATACTGAAGGGATCGGATAAAAAAAAGATGCAGTATACCTGTATATCAATTCCAGCATCCATTGCTTTCTGAAATAGCAGATCCACTCTCACTAGATCATTTGGCAATTCCTCCTATACAGCATTTAAAACAATATCCTATCAACCTGATGCAATAGTGATTGCTACAGCAAATTTCACTCAAAATCTCCAAAAAAGCCAACATCAAAATGACAAGTACAAAACATACATGCCATAACCTATAAACTGTTATTCTTTCCATTCAATCATGCTTATCAATAAGTCCTACAGCCAAACACGAACACATTTTAGGCAAAACATGTCCACTTTTCTGTTAACACCGGTGAATCCCATAAATAAATGCCATTTAATTGTGCATATGTAGACAATGTCCTCTAGGATATGCCAATATATCTCAAACCCATATTCCAACCACTCTCAAAGAAAAGTTTATATCTTCAATTTCTTCATCTACATAGACATGAGTGTGCAAAGAACTAAGAGACCAAGTGAACCCCATTTGGGTCCTCAACATTTTCAGAACATCAATTTGCTCCTCAAAAGATCATTAAATCAATTTACTCCTCAAATATGGCTTTTCAGCATTAAAATAGTTCAGAATTTAATGTTGCGAGAGCCAACAAAAATCATTTGATGGCCAAATTGATTTTTCAAAAATCTTTTGAGGAACAAATTGTGTTTACACAAAAATACTAAAAAAGCTTCTGATTATTTCAGTATTACACCGAATCACCTTGTAAAATGACTCAACACAGTAGTTTGGGTTTGCACCGAATGTCACTGTGAAGTAGGAAAAAGTAACAGAAAATCTCTGTAACAAATACGCCAAATCAACAGTCCAAATGCTGCAAAACAACAGTCAACAGCGAGACAAGTCAGAAGTTAATCATATACTTTCATATTAAATTATGATATTCAACTTTGTTTTTTGAGTCCACGAATTTAATCTGTTTTAGTATTTGATTCAGACCAATAGGTAAATTAAATGTTGTTGGAAAAATAAAATCACAATTGTTCACAAAATTAGAACTTAGAGCATGTTTATATTCAACCATAATTTATTTTTTTTAAAAAAAAAAACTTTTCATTTTCCAGTTTTCTTTCCCTTCTTCGAAATTCTGATAAGCACTTTGGTTTGTATCTTGAATCCAGAACAGCATATGCAAAGACATCATTTACATGCAGAACCAGACTATCCTAATTCCTATAATGTGTGAATCCATCAATAGTTGATGCCTAATGGCCAACTTCAAGTTGGTTTCTGAATTTTTACCGCTGACAATAAGGAATCTGTCATTTCATGATAGGTTTTATATACAAGACAAAAGGCACAACAGATCTTGAATTCTGAAGCAAACTTTAGCTCTTAACTGTTGAACTCCAAATAGAGAATGAAATAATCAATTCATTAACGTAACTTTTTATCAAGTATTTTATAATTTTATTCTAAAGAATCTAATTTAGTATGTTCCTTGGCAAATGGAAGCTTCAAATTTGAACACACACTTACACTAGGAGAAAATAGGTATTTTCCAACTGATATCGAGGGGAGCCCAAAACATCTAGGAGATCTACATCCAACAGACTAAGCAATGAATCACACAATAGGCCTCCTATACCCACATCTAAGCCACACTTAAGTTCTCAACAACCTCCCCCTCAAGAAAGTTTGGTCCAAAATGTAATGTGAAAAAACTAAGAAACCTTGCCACCTGATTAACATTATAAGATTGTAAATGATTTTCAATTAAACAAAGTCATGGGGGAGGAGAGGAGGACTGGAGATATACTTACATAGGCACAATACTAAAGTAAATACGTTTGCAACTTTGTGTGGAACGCACAGTGAGTCCCACACATGGTCGTGAGTGTGCCAACTATAGACACTTTACTTTCTTAACCAATAATAAAAGCATGAACTATATTTCCTTCTTAGTTGCATTAGACATAGTCATGTGTATATCATCTAGGATCTTCAAGCATTTCATATAACACAGTAACTACGATTTCTAAGCTTTTATAGAAGAAAAGACCTAGTTGAGCAGCATAGTTCAGCCAGTGCTTGAATATTGTAGTCGTTGTCACCCATAGTTTTCAAAACCATCAAGACACAAGCAAGGCCACAATCCCATGTATATATTTGGTTTATGTGTGGTACCTATAAGCATGATTGGGATAAACTTTATTACAGATATAATAAATGTAAAAACATTTGCAGTATACTATGTAAAGAACAAGATATCAGCCAAAAATCACATGCACTTACTTCAATGAAGAGTGAACGGCGCAAGGAGGGAGGATGGGAATCTAAGTTGCTTGATGGTTGCTGAAACAGGTACGGATCTATCACACTCAAATTATCTCCTTTTAATTCTCTTTCATCTTCCGTCTTTAGAATCTTGTTCAATAGCAAGTATATGGGCCACATTAATGACCAAATTGGACGTGTAAAATGTTCACTTTCAAACAAAGGTTCAGGAAATGAATAGAGTCCAAAGAGGGAAACTGGGTGGTCCTTGTTGTGTACGAGGAGTCTCAACCAAATTGATAGAATTGCAGTATATATCCTACCTGCAGCAGTTTTGACATAAAATTTATTAGAAGTCAAGCATAGAATTCTTCAATTTCTTTGTAGTTAAGAGCCCTAATTTCTAAATCCATTGAAGGCCACACCACCTAAGAAGGCTGGATTTGAATCAAATAAGGGAAGGGAAGGGACGGGTAATTTTTCACTTTTAATAAACATTCTCCTTATTCAAGAATTTCTGAAAAACAGATATTATCATGTAACCTTCCAATTACTCCGTATTCAATTATATAAACAATTAATAATTCTTTAAATTTAAAAATGAAAAAAATAACCTCTCCTTCTTTTCTCTCCAAACTCCTCCATCCAAACATAATAGGGGTGAATAAAGCCATGAGGATTGTTCAAGTTAAATGCAAATTTCACAAAATCAAACTTAGATGGCCTTTGAAAGTTGACAAAGAGTGCAGGGCAGCTATATCAAACTTGCACGAGACCCCATTATCCTAGAAATTCAATATTTTTTTTTCTTAAGACTTTAATCAAGGTATCCCAACAACAACATCAAATTCGAAAAATAACTAATTGACAGGATCATAAAATAAAAAATAAATAAATAAATCAATTTGAAAAAAAAATCTCAACAGAACATCTAACAAATAATAATCGGAGAAACTAGAAATATAAAAATGTTGTTGCAGGAAAGCTAAAAAATGGAAGCAGGATCATACAAAAAAATGAGATTAGAACGAAATTGTACGTACAAATGAAGAAGGCGCGTGTTGAAGACAGGTTCAGGTATTTGGTTGGTGTCTTTTTGAATCCTTTTTGTTTATTCCCTTTTCAGTTTTTGATTTTCCTTTTGCACCCTTTCTACTTCACGTTTTCTTTTTCTCCTGCTTCTTTCTTTTTCTTCCCCTTTTTTTTTATTTGAGTAAATATCTTTTTTTTTCCTCAAACAAATTTCATAACACCTATTTTAGTTCCTAGCAAATAAAAAGGTCCATCGTGATTCCTACAAAATTCAAAATGGACTCATTTTAGTCCTTTTAGAGACTAATATGGGTCTGTTTTGAATTTGTGAAGGACCACGATAGACCATTTTATTTGCAAGGGACTAAAGCGGACATCGTGAAATTTGCGAGGAACAAAAATAATATTTACTCTTTTTATTACTATTATTTTTGGAATAGTTTTTCAATGCTACATTATTGACTAAGCTATATGAATCAGATGCGGCTACCACGAGATTAGGCCTGCACCTAAAGCAAATAATAATTCAGGAAACACTTTGTTATATATTATTATTTATTATCTGGCATATATGAAGATTTCAACGCTTAATTTTAAATAGTTTTTTTTTATATATATATTTCTATTTTAATTACATCACCTCTCGTAAATATGACGTTATACATTTGATTTGTTCCAAACATTATTCTACCTAAAATATGAGATATATTAAGTATTTTTGCAAAAATAAAATTATTATTATTTTAATAAATAATTATGAATATATAGTTGTTTTGAAATTATTTACTGATTTATTACACTCATTCACGCCCGAATTAAGCGTAAGTCGTGACCATTCAGGCATTCACGTCTAAGTTAGGCGTGACTCTCAAGACATTCACACCTAATTAAGGTGTGACTCGTCTGGTGTTGACATGTGACACAAAAAATTAATCATATGAACCATAAAACTTTGAAAAGCCATAACTTTTGAGTTTTGACCCAGGTATCTAAATCAGATACTTTTTTTATTTCACAAAACTTTTCGAGATCTACGCAATGACACTTTATTTGACATATTTTATCTCACACAAACACAATTCAAATTTGCAATAATGGTATTATAAGAGCGTTTAAACCCAGAAGTCTCCGAGTTCTGAGTTTGTAATTTAATATAAATAAATAAATAAAGATTTGATTTGTGATTTAAATTAAAAAATTTATTTTTTTAATTCTTAATATAAAAAATAAATAAAGATTTGGTTTGTGATTTAAATTAAAAAAATCTACAAAAATTATTATTAATAAGGAAAACAAAATAAAGATTTGATTTGTGATTTAAATTCAAAAATCAATATGAAAAAACTGTATTAATAAAGAAAATAATTAAATAAATATTTTAAATATCTAAAGAAGAAGGATTTTATTTTTGAAATCCATTCAGAGGCTATAAGCTTCCAGCGAATCCAGCCATAATGACGTAGCCATTGTTTCGTATAAGAGACGTTTCCAAACTTTATGTTGGAAATCAACAACACACAAATTGAAAACGGAAAAGAAAAAGAGAGAGAATAAACACAGCGATTTACTCTGGTTCATCCAATTTAGGCTACGTCCAGCTTGTCTGTACTATATTCACCTCATCGCCACTCGTTACAAGTCTCTCGATTACAAGGCAAATATAAATAGGATTACAAAACCCTAACAACAGCTATTCATGGGCCCAAGTCCAAACTGCTAAGAAAATTATAATAAAACAGAGGCCCACAATCGTACCTAGCCTCTACGGGCCAGGGGGTGCTGCCCCCCAAACCCCCGGCACCCCCGGACCCCCGCCCGCTCACCTGGGAGCGAAACCCCAGTTACCTTTCTGCTGACCCCGATAATTAGGGCCCTCATCAGAATGCGAAGTATGAGCTATACCTAACACTTTAGAGTTCATGATTCGATTGCAGGTTTAGTTTTTTTTTTTATATCCATTAGTCCTTTTTTTATTTTTCTTTTAAATGTATTTATTTTTTCTTTCTCTTAGGCATACATAATTTAAATGGCTTTAAAGAAAAAAGTCATAAAACAGAAGGATGTAACTTACGATACGGTTCGATAAAATTCGTAAAAAAGTTATATATTTTTCAATTATTTTTTATTATATTTCTGTATCTTACGATTCGATATGTTTCATGATACGAAAAATCGACCAAACGATACTCGATACATATTGTGATTCAATAACCTTGTACACTATTTTTTTTTCAAACACTTTGTAGAAAGTATATATTTTAATATGACATTAAGTATCCTTATTTATAGATGAACTAATCCACTTTGGTGCCATCTTTATAGTACTATTGTGGCAAATTTGTACTGTGTTGTGAGAGATAAAATATGTCAAATGAGATGTCATTGCGTAGATCTCCAAAAGTTATGTGAAATTAAAAAAAAAAATTACATGATTTGAATACTCGAGTCAAAAGTTATGATTTCTGAAGTTTTACGATTAAACTGTTAATTTTTTGTGTCACGTGTCAACACCATACGAGTCATGCCTAAATTAGGCGTGAATGCCTTGTAAGTCACGCTTAACTTAGGCGTGAATGGTCATACCCAATTTGAATGTAAATGAGTGCAGTATATTCATAATTAAAATAACAACTTATTGGTAATTATTTATTTAAAAAAGTAATATTTTAATTTTTTTTGCCTAAGTATTGTTGAGAAACTTCTCTTGCTAATTGCTATGCATCATTTCGTTAGGATTTATTTTTGAATTAATATTTTAAATTTATAACTAGAATAGTAAATATCCAATAATAGAAATATTTTGCTCTATAAAGGGATTTCTTCCCCAAAATATTTTAATAAACCATTATAGCATATATGGAAAAAAAACCATATCATTTCATATCTCAGAATATGTGATAGAATTATTATACAAAGTTGTATAAAATTATTATAATTATATATAATTAAATAATAAAATAATACAAATGTGAGGTGACTTATTGAAAAGCACGAAGGAGAACATTGACTTGCTGCTGTAAACTCACATTCATCGCTAGTTAGGCGGGGCTTAACTAATTAAAAATTAGGTTGCGTAAGCAGTACGTAATTCCTCTCAAAAAAATTCAAAAAGATTGGGATTTTGCCCTGATCTGACATCAAATCTCACCTAAATTTTTATCATGAAAATAAAAATGAAATTGGGTTGCCTATATTGAGGTTCACTCAAAAGACGCAAATTAGAATATAACAATACAAAATGGTATAAATTTTTTTGCTATTCCAACATTTTGTAATATGATTTGATGGGTAATAGTATGGGTCGATGTGACGTGTAAGGTCTGATAGTGTAAACTTATACTATACGTTATGACATTTTCAGTTGTTTGGTGTATCATCGTATAGTATAAGTTTGTACAGATAATTCCTTAATACATCAAGACGATGTATAACTTAATCTAGTCTAAGGGAGAGGGATTAAGCCTGATAAGTTATATGAAGTTATATTATTTTAATTAAGATAATATAATTAAATAATACCATTGTTGACTAGTGCAGTTCTAAAAAAATATATTATTTTAATATTAATATATTAAAATAAAAATTAATTTTTAATATATTAAATTTTAAAATATTGAATATTTTTATTTTTATAAAAATTAATTTATTTTTTAGACACACTAATCAATAGATTTTTATAAAAATTAATATCATATGACATTTTTTAAGAATTATATAAATTATTTATTAAAAGATTTTTTTATTACAAATATTTATTTTTATCCTATATAGTATTATACAGTGCATTATCAAAAATTATATGATATTATCTTGTACAATATATTACTATATACGATACAATGTCAAACGATGGATAATATTAAAATTCAATGAGGTCTTATACAATCAGGCCTTATACTATCAGGTCTTATCATATACTATGCATCAAACATGCCCTAATATTACACATCACAAGTTATACTATTTTTATCTAGAGAACTTATGTTATTTTTACAATTAAATAAAGAGTTCACTTTTCTGTAGTCAAAGTAGATAAATTATCTACATTCATTATAGAAATTTAATGTCTTAGATAATTTATAAGTTATTGACATCGTTTTTTGGTTGAATATTTTTGTAATTATAATTTATTTTAATGTTATAATAGTTTTTCTTATTATAATTTTTTAATTTTTCAATCCAAAATGATATTTTGAGAGTGAATGCAGATAAGTTATCTACAAAATATTAAAACCTTAAATAAAATATAATTTTTTAAATTGTGGTGTCTCTTATCTTTTAGGATTTTTTTTAGGTATTATTTTGTGAATATGACAATTAATATATATATATATATATATATATATATATATATATATATATATATATATATATATATATAGGTAAAACATTTCTACAGTCATTTTAGATAAAGTTATCTATAGCTGCCCCAAAAATTACGTCATTTTGATTAATGAAGGATGTTCATATAATTTTAGGTGAATTAATAAACGGTGTTTCCGTATTTTTTTTTTTATCATATGCATTTTACGAAAACATTGTTCATTAATTCACCTACAATTACAGAAACACTCTTTATTAATCAAAATGACGTAGCTTTTTTGGATAGCTGTAGATAATCTTATCTAAAGTGACTGTAGAAATATTTTTGTTTGCATATATATATATATATAGTTTCATAATTGAAATTTTCTATGTAATATTTTTTAATTAAATATGTGAAATGGATTGAAGTTCCGAACCCCGAATTTGAAGCCTAGCATGAACCCCGAATTTGATGCCTAGCACGAACCCC